CATCTGGCCACTATATCTGTGTAATGGGCTGAATGTCAGCTAATTCGGCTCAATCTTCAGGCGCTTGCCGGAGAAAAGCCTTTAGCATTGAGGCGTTTTAATTTACATATTTAGTTTCTTACAAATTTGAACTGCTATCTTCTTAAGAAAAACTCCGAGGCCATGGTGTAGCCGATTTACTAGCTGGCTAAAAATTGGCATAAACGGCCTAAAAATATAGTAATTACTTAACTATAACTGACCACCCATTTAACCAAACTTAATTTTATGTCCAAGAAGATGTTTTACGAAAGCTCTGTCCATAATATCAAAAAATTAAATTCATAAACTTTCTAAGCCTTTAAATGATAATAAAGATAAAAATATAAGCTATTATAAATCTGTTAAAATAAAAAACATGCCCAAAAACATAATTCTAGAATTAAATAGAGTACTTTTGCAACATTACCCCGGACATAAACATAAATTTTTTGACAAATTCCGCGACTTTTTTCAGAAAATGTTGGAAGAAACTATTTGCTAAAATCCTACCCCAAACTTTTTCAAAAATTTTTGAACCGAAGCTGGGTAAAATGTTTTTAAATATGGCCGAAATCTCGGGCAGGGTCTAGTTCTCCGATAAAAAAAATAATAATTACTATCTAATGTCATTCATCTTCTGCCAATCACGGAGATCATCAATTCAGTTTAGGCTCTGATACATGACGGGCACTTCAACTCCAATGCTTACAAATTACGATTTTTTTTTGTAAAATTTAACCAATTTTAATTTATGGAATATAAAAATAGCGCTGTTTTATTCCAGTGAAATTTAAATTAGTAGCACGAACCCTTTACAGTGTTGTTTGATTTTTCTTTACGTGTAAATATTGCTGAATAAAATTAAGTGACAGGAGAATTTGATACAGTTTTTTTTGGATGCCATATAATTATTTATTCGTTTTTAACTCGAAACCAATTTTAAGTAATTTTTAATTATAGAAATTTTGTTCGATGAAAAAAAATATATCCCAACACCAAGATAATGATGAAGAATGCAGGCCAACAGAGTCAATATGGAATTGTTAGTAACAACTGATTTGTGTACTAAAACACGGATCGAGAGAAATTTATAAAATCAGACCTCATGGATGAATGGAAGCATCTTCCTAAAAGTGGACGACTAGTGCTACGACCATTATTGAATTGTTGATAACTTAGCTCGAGGTAGTTAGCCTCTGCTGAGCTACACACGTCACTCCAAAAATAATGATTTACTTTTTTGTTTATACGAATAACAAACCGTTATCTAATATTTTTACACAAGGAGAAGTACAAAGAATTAAAAATACGCGATAAGATGCCTCTAGGTAATGGCACCGTGGATTGAAATACATGACGTCAACATATTTCGATTGAAATTCGATGACGTAGATAAAAACTTTCCTGAGGATAACCTTGGCACCGATTTTGTCAGAAACAATGGGGATTGATATTAGGAATGTTGATATTTTTCTAATTTCCGCTCTAACCCAAAGAATCGGAGCTAACGGGTGGTGCGAAACGATGAGCGCATGCATGGGATAGCTGGATTCCATTGCTCCACGGAATGAGTGTCATTCCGTCAGGCCTAATGTTGTCTCCGAAATAATACGCGTTTCAACATTGATAAAATATTGTCTGAGCAGACAGTTCTAGCAATAATCGAATTTACTGCTCGATAGCGTGAATGGTGGCATTTCAAGAAGCGGTAATAAAGGGTAATGGTCTAGCCTGTCGATAGGGAGCTGACAGAATTTGCAAGAGAAAATGAAGGCCTATTCCTTAAATAAAGAATCACTACTTTGATTTATTGGGGAGGCAATATCTGGGTTAAAGGTCGAGGAAGGCCCTTAGCGTTCGAATAAAGGAATACAACGATGCTGGATTAAAGTTAAGCCCAAGTCTTGTTGTTTGGAGGATAAAAAAAGGGAACGTTTGGGGCGTTTGACTTTCATAAATCTAGGGCCAGCCCCAGGTGGGGATCTATAATGATGGTAAAAATGTTGATAATTATTTGACTTCTCTTGTGATGGTGAAAAAGCTGCAATACTGATTGAGGGCAGGGCGAATGCGCCTATTCTCCCAAATTTGCTTGGGAGAGCAGCTGGCATCCAGCAACTGAACGAGAATTTGAGGTTAAATATTGCTGAGAATTGTAATGGAAGAAGCATAACTAAATGCATTCAATTATCTTTGGAATGTAAAAGGGAATTCTATTTAAGTTGCTATTTTTTTTGTCATACAATAGTTAATATATCAAAAGTTATATAAATTGTTCTTCGTATTATCCCGTTACATTAACATTTTAATAAAAATCATAAATTACCATCGGAATTTAATTGTATTATTGAAATGATATTCTCACATTTCAACGGCGGGAAAAGCTCTTAATTCGCTCACGTGGACAATATTCAAAATTCTAATGTTAACACTTGTACGGCCAATAAGAATTTAGATAAAACAAGCTGATCGTATTACTTGACAAGCCGAAATTATACAATTTTATTTAAATTCCATTTCGCAGTTTTTTTTAGAGGAAAAGCTAAATATATATATATCTTACGCTTATCGAAATACTTTTTATTCTAAAAATAAAGTATTGAATAAAATTTTTATCGAAAATTTTAAAAATATTTTATATTTTACAAAAACGCACCCTTAAGGGGGTTTTTTTTTAAAAAAAAGAATTAAAAATGGCTTTTTTAACACGCCCATATTTTATTGATTTATTATCTTATATTACGTGCCACTATCATTCAGGGAATTCAAATAGAGGATTTAGGAAAAAACAAATTTTTTTTTAGTTTTGAATATTCATAAGTATAGGATCCGTTCTTTATTCTATCTTACAATGGGGATATGTTAACACACTCACATTAGAAGGGATGAATGGAAATGAGAGAACTAAAAATGAATTTAGGAAAAATCTTTACAAAGATAATTTTTATTTATGGCCTCATCAAAAGAGATTTCAATTTTTTTTTTATCGAATATGAAATGGTATATATTGGATATAAACCATATATATGACAAAAATCTATTAGAATCAATTTTTTTTAAATATTAAATCACTGGAAAGACGTCATTAAAAAGCTAAATGCATGTGACTTATATTAATAAAATGATATTTAAAAATTGATTTATATATCGATAATAATGAATTTTTTTTTTTGCTAATCTGCTGATCAATAAGATAATTTTGATAGATATAAAATACGATACGATACGAATAATTGATAAGATATAGTGTTAGTGTTATCATGTATTCGCCTTTTAATTTTTCTAGGTAGCATTAGGCAGTTGAGAAGATTTTTGGGAGGATTATTTTATCCCAAAATTTTGAACATTAAAATCTTTGATCTTTTTTAAAAAAAAATTCAAAGGGATTGGAATATTCTCGAAAAATTTTTTTGAAAGATCAAATTCTTTAAATATTTTATTTTAGTGTTTCGGAGAGCATTAATTTATTCTTAATTTGGTTCAAATATTCAAATAGGTTTTTGCTCTTAGATTTTCAAATACTTATGGATAAAGTATTTTGCGAAAAAACTGTAGAAAATGTCACATTCTATTCGTCATTCGATATGTATAATATGCAATATATATTGGAGAGGAATGAGGTGGGGGGGGGGGTGTATATAAGTTATTGCAAAAGTTAAATTTTTGATGGCGGCTCATGTTAAAAGATTTTTGTTTTGTTTTTCAGTCAAATCAAGAAATTTTTTTTTAAATGTGTGCGTGTTGGTTGTTACTAAATTAATTCTGATTGAGAATAAATTAATTATATTATCACTTAAGTTAATGAAGAAAATATATAATGTATACTAATATATTTGTTGATATACGATTTTTATAGTTTTGAATATTATGATATATATAGAAGAAAAAAAATCTAATTATATGATAAATAATATAATTTAACACCATATTTCTTCCATCCAATTTATTTATAAAAATTATCTTCTGCTTCTATTTTTTTAATTTTAAATTTAAAAAGCTGTTATTATCACGGATTCCTGCATTAATATTAAATAATATTATTCGTAGACCGACGATGTCTAGCTAGTTATAGATAGTATAGAATATCCAATTTTTAACTTTTTATGAATATTATATTATATTAAAATTTATTATTTTTAATATTAATTAACACATTATTAAATTATTTTTTTAGAGTTTATTATTCACGACAGTGCCCCCCCCCTTCCTCCTATTGAGTTTGAAATATTTTAAATTTTATTTTATCTCATTATATCAATAAATAATTATTTTCAATTTATCTTCAAAAAATATCTATACATTTTTATAAAATTATATTTTTAATAAGCAGTCTGATGAATACATAAAATAAATGAAAATCACTTAGCTCATGCATGTTATATAAAAATTTACTATTCCATCCTATGATCAGGATGGAATATCAGACAATAGCAGCTTAATATGTCTTTTGAACTTATTAAACAAGGAAGAAATTCATTTTTCTTTTGCACACTCAAACAACTACAATTATTTTTTAAATTTCCTTTTATTCCATTACAACATTTTATTTTTCATCAAAAAGTTACTACTAACTCACAAATTATCATAAAAATAACAAAGATAAAATGAAATAAAGAATATTAATATTTTAATTTATTTGATTTTTTTTAATATAAATTTTTTTTAATGAACGCAAAAATCAAATAATATTTATTTTTTAAAATAAATATGTTAAATTTTGCAGCGAAATTTTATTCTAGATTAATTTTGTAAACCACCGCAGCACCGTTGGGTGGGGGGGGGGGTGAGGGCTCTTCTCTTCTTTCTTTCTTTCTTCTTTCTTTCTTTCTTTCAGCTATAAAAATTAAAAATATATACGGGTCGAGCCTTAAAATATAAAACCCGGGTCGGGCCGGTTTTTTTAAAAAATAATCGGGCCGGGCCGTGCAAATAGTAGCTCTTTAAAAATTTGATATTATATCTTTTTTAAATACAAATAGATTAGCGAGTAGGAAATATGAATATTAAATCTACTTCGGCGGAAGGAGAGAGAAAAAAATCGGAACGTCAATTATCGTGACGTCTTAGTCGTCCTAGGAGGTATCGCGTATTTTTCATAATTTCGCGGAAAAGGGTATTCGGATTACGCAAATGTTTCGCAAATTCAAAACCAATAAGAAATCGTCCTTCTCATTATCCATCAATCACAATTCATCTCTCAACAATTCTCACAATTCATCTTCTTCCCTCTCCCGCCATTCCACCACCAAACCCGACATCAGTTCACCCATACCCGTCGTTTCCATTCATTCCTCCAGCCCATCGCCCAAAAATTTTTCCCGCGCCAATTCGCACGGTTACCACTACGGTCATAAAATCGGGATCGGCAACAAGCCATTATCGATTACTACCCAACAGTCCTCGACTCGAGACTTTTTGAAGACCGATTTTGGGGAAGATGGGAGTGGCACCTATCCATCTTACTCTATCGGAAGTTCAAATACTTTGGCGGGAACGCAGACCGGCGGGGGTATCATAGGTAAAAATTAAATTTAGGAAATAGAGAAGGGGGGGGGAGTGTTTTTTTTATAAACTTCGCAGGGGGGGGGGGGAGAGGATTAAATTTGGAGTTTTCTAGACGGAAACAATATTTAGAAGAGAACATCGATAGTTTGTCATTTAACAAAAATCAAATCAATTAATTATAGTTCAATACTTTAAAATAATAGCCCTTTAAACTGTAAACTAATTTATTCACCAATAATAGGTAAGCCTTACAACGTTAAGCAGGTCATCCACGTGACGGTAGATAAGGGAACCGGAAAGATAATTGGTCTGCCGGAAGCTTGGAAGAATTTGCTGGAAACTTCAAGAATCACGTGAGTTAAAGCTTTAAATATTTTCGATTTTTGAGCACGTATTCGAGTTGTCCATTTATTGCTATACAGAGATCGATGAATTGGGAAGCTTCATATTAATTTTTGAATACTTATTCTTTCAATACACGAAAAGCTATAGAGTTGTATAACAATTTTAATCCTTTAATATTGGCACTCCAATATCATCTTTTTTTTAAAGTTGGCCTCCTTGTGATAAGAATTAGACGTAATCAGATTCTATCCCTACGTTAGCCGTACTCGTTCGCCCCCCCCTCTATTTCTGTATAATTTATGATTAACCAATCAGATTAATCGATATGTGCATACCACTTTTCAATTATCCCCCCCCCCCCACTCCACCCTATAATTTTAATGTCCTAACAAATATTATGGCGAAATTCAAGTGAAACAGAGCAGAACGCCAATCCAGAGGCCGTGGTTAACGCGTTGACTTATTACTACCTGACTTCCTCCTCTCCTCAAGAAGTCTTGCCACCCGCTTCCCCCTTGGAGTCGAATCCCGCCATCAATTCGCGATTTCTTTTCGACGAAAATCGATTCGACGGCCCTCGAACAATCTCCGCGGACTCGAATAGGTTGTATGGGAAAAACCGCCGTTTTACGGGGCAGGATGATATTTTATCGAATGGTATAATGCTCAGTTTTTAGATATACTAATTATATTAAATTTCCAATCACTCTACCCAAAGAGGTTTCATTTTAAAGGTTAATTATATCTATATATTTTTTAAACGCTCAGTTTACACAGATCTTCCAACGTCGTTCACTTCCTTCATCCCCGCCTTTTCTTCCCCGCTTCGTTCAGAGCACCAACAAGAAGCGGATAAAAGGCATACGCTCATTTACCGGAAAAACTCCCGGGATTTTGCTTCCATTGCCGCCGAAGAAGACGATTACCAAGTCATAAATTTCGTTAAAAATGAAAATTATTATCACGTTAAGCCTTCCGCTGCTTACAGGGCTTACCCAGTTGCTCCTTACGATAACTACGATGAGAATGATATTGACGCATATATATCCGAATCGGTCGGTTTCAAGAATGGAAGTATTTTTGAGGAGGTGAGTAACCGCAATGATTCCACGGTTATATACGACACCGCCCACGGAACCCTCAATAGCGGCAGGCGATTCGATTTTTCGCGTGGTGTTATGAATCGATCCGACGATTGCTGTATCGACGATAATAACAAAATGGATGATTTGAATATCAGGAGGATTAATTCGTTTCCCTCCATTCCTTCCGAATTTAATCTCGAACCCAACCAAGATTTCCATTTTTTAAACATTTCTCGCCAAAACCGCCTGATCTCTAGTATTGATGGAGCTAGGGCTTCTCTCCCCAGAAGAACCAAATGGTGTTTACTCCCCCCTTCCGACAAGACCGCTAAAGAAAAGACAATCAAAACCCAGAAGAACGAAGCACCTCCCACTAACAAAGTCATCGATATAGTCAATAACATAGAAGCGGCCAATTTACCTCCCAGCTTGCCGCCTAAGATTAAGAGAAAAGTTACTAAACGACTATATACGCGATTATTTTTAGTCTCGGATATAATGAGTTTTTTTTTCTGCTGAACCTTTTATTTTTAAATAGCTCGATTGTGCAATTTAATTTTATCGCGTATTAACAATACATCGTTTTGAGTATTTACGACACGTTTCTTTTTCTACGTATCAGGTCCAGCGAAATTTTTTATAGCGAATTTTCTTCCGCGAATGTATTTGCGCGAATTTATTATCGCGAACGCATTACGACGAAATGGTAAATATATTGCGAACGCATTTGTTCTTCAATGGAAAACAAGATATTCAATATTAATTTACCCACAAAAGTTTCTCAAATCATCATGTCATAAACCCCCCCCCCCTACCATCCACTTCTTCCATGCTAAGATATGTGCGGTCGAAAGATATTTTAATTTGAGATTCATGTCGAGATATTACGTTATAATTTATACCCCCCCCCCCCCACCTCCCCTGATTTATCCTAAAAACATAAAGATTAGTAACAATAACAACGTAAACATATCCTTTTATTAGAATTCATTTGTTACCCATGTGGAAATATGTGTTCTAAATATTTTACCCTCTCGCGTTCCCACAACCAGGCTCAGACTTGAAACAAGGTGACTTCAATACCATTCTCAAAGTTCTTACACCGTCTTACCCCCCCCCCCCTAGCCCATCCATCAATGAGCTAAATCAAAACCTAGAGCGATAATAGCTTTTAAAAAAAAATATTTTTTTATTCGACTTCATTTGATGCCCCCCTTGCCGGATATTTCTTGTAAAAGAAATATAAATCTCTCCAAACCTTGACACGAGGGCCTAGAAAGAAGTGATGGCTAATTTTAATAGTACTCAATCATTTTATTGGCTTCCATCTGATACCCATGTCTTGGGAAAACAATAAACAAATGTTTACCCCCCCCCCCATTTTCACGACATAAACCAGGAGATGTAGAGAAATGATCAATGCTTAAACTCCAAAAAAATTCATGCTTATTTTTACTTAGCAAAAACCATCTTTTGGGAATTCAGTGAAAATTACTTTGAATAGTTTTAATTCTTAGTAATTAATGGGGAAAAAAAACAATATACAATATATGTCGAAGGACTAAACTACATATATTGTAATTAAGCCATTACATCATGGAAGGAAGATGGTATAAAATCATAAGATTCAAGAATATTTTTTTGTTGAAATTGGACAAAAAATCCCCTTATTGGGTTATTCCATGTCAAATGAGCAAAAAAATCAAGATTTTCGGCCGACCCCTTTCAATTTCGATAAAAAGTTGTAGACTGGTTATATATGTTCCCACTAGATTATAAACAAAATTTTAGCGCATTAGCAACTATATTAGCGGAGATAATCGGGGTTAAAGGTCCAAAAAACGTCTTTTTTTGCTTTTACTGATGTCAAATAATTAGTTTTTAATTTAAAACTAAATATGATCAAATATTGAATATAATATCAATAGCTAAGTTAATAATTGATGATTATGGCGAAAACATCAAAATTAATTTTTGATAAAATATGGGTCATCTTATGGTCAGTTGAAAACTTGAAATTAATATTTAGAAATGTATATGATCTCCGATTTTTAATTTTTTTAAGAAATATTATCCGTTTACTATTTTTCTAATAATTTCTTCAACAATTAGCATGGCTGGATATTTATTTAAAAAAATATTGCGATTTTTATACTTTTAAAAAAATAGATGGCGCTATTTATAATAGCTTTAATATGTTAAAATTCATTTTTTTATTGATTAAAAATATTTTAATGTATAATATATCATAAAATTGGATTATATAACTTTGTAAACCTTATTCCCCTGAGATATTCGCAGGATAAAAAAATTTAATAATTTTTTTAATATTGCAATGTAAATTAAAAATAATTAAAAAATCCGACTAGCATACGAGCAAAAAGGCAGGATTAAAGGAGTGCAGGAAAATTATTAAGGGAAAAATCGAAAATCACATTAATTATCATGCATACCCCCCCCCCCCCTGACTAAGTCATACCCATCAAGATCAAGAATGTTATGAAATTGTCATTATCTTAAATTATTAAAATAACCAGAGATAAAGAAAATTTCGAAGATTTTGAAAAATTTTTTAAGTAATAAAAATAAACAAAATTATAGTTCTGATGAAATAAGCCGACTCATGCCTGGAATAAAAGATTGTGTATCTGTTAAAGGCGAGAAAGAATCAGTCCAAAGATTTATATTAAATAAGCTTAAATAAATATTCAAGATGTTTAAGGAAGAATACCCAAATATATCAATTGGATTCTCTAAATTTGCCGAACTTAGACCAAAAAACTGTATTTTAGTTGGAGCTAGTGGCACACACACTGTTTGTGTCTGCGCCATTCATCAGAATGTGAAATTGATGACAAATGTAGAAAAATATAATAGATGGGGAATTTTTAACAATTCTAGATTATTCTGAGAATTATTCCTTCATTTTACAAGATGAAGTTCAGGGATTTCATTGGAACAACGTGCAGGCCACTATACATCCATTTGTAGCATATTCTAAATCTGGAGAAGAACTAAAAAATATAAATTTTGTTATTTTATCCAAATTTAATTCTAAACCAGTAAAAATAATATATTTTTCAGATTAAGCAGCGTCTCAATACAAGAATCGCAAAATTTTTCTGAACATATGTCTTCATAAATACGATTTTAATATTCCTGCCGAATGGCATTTCTTTGCCACTGCTCACCGCAAAAATGCATGTGACGGTATTGGAGGAACTGTCAAAAGATTAGTTGCCAGAGCTAGTCTTCAAAGGCCAAATAAAAATCAAATCCTAACCCCATTAGAATTATATAATTACGCTAAAGAAAATATTAATGGAATTCAATTTGAATATGTATCCAATCAAGAATATATCGAAGAGGAATTAGCCCTTCGTAAAAGATTTAATGCACTGCTTATACATGGGACCCAAAAAATTCACGGGGTTATTCCCATTGATCAAAATAGACTAAAAACCAAAATATATTCTAATTACAAAAAATATAATATAAAACAAGTTTCGTATTTAAATGAGAAAATTAATTTTTAAAATATTAATGGATATATAACATGTGTATATGATGATAAGTGGTGGTTAGGATATATAATCGATAAAAATGATATAAATAAAGAAGTAAAAATCCAATTTTTACACCCTTGTGGACCTTCAGCCTCATTTAAATTTCCTCTGAAAGATGATATTTTAGTGTTGCCTAAATCTCATATACTCTCGCTGGTCAATCCTTCTACTCCTACCCTCAAACATATATATTATCTCCCGAAGAAATCTCACAAGCTAGCCAGGCTTTGTATTCCTTTAGATGAAGTAAGATTTAATTAATTTATAAACTATCTAAATTAGGCTAAATTTGTTAAGATTTTAAAAATTTATGATCTGAATTACAAATAAAAATATATAATGGACATTGTAATCGATTTAGTATGATATATATACATTAAAATATTTTTAATCAATAAAAAAATGAATTTTAACATATTAAAACTATTATATATAGCGCCATCTATTTTTTTTAAAGTATAATAATCGCAATATTTTTTAAAATAAATATCCAGCCATGCTAATTGTTGAAGAAATTATTAAAAAAATAGTAAACGGATAATATTTCTTAAAAAAAATTAAAAATCGGAGATCATATACATTTCGAAATATTAATTTCAAGTTTTCAACTGACCATAAGATTACCCATATTTTATCAAAAATTAATTTTGATGTTTTCGCCATAATCATCAATTATTAACTTAGCTATTGATATTATATTCAATGTTTGATCATATTTAGTTTAAAATTAAAAACTAGTTATTTAACATCAGTAAAAAGCAAAAAAAGACGTTTTTTAGACCTTTAACCCCGAATATCTCCGCTAATATAGTTGCTAATGCGCTAAAATTTTGTTTATAATCTAATGGGAACATATATAACCAGCCTACGATTTTTCATCGAAATCGAAAGGGGTCGGCCGAAAAGTGATTGATTTGACATGGAATGATCCTATTTCAACTTGTATGTAATTCATATACGAATCGACATTCAAAATTCGATAAAGACTTAAATGAGTAATGTTATATTTTTTTTTTATTATTTAGTTTAATAAGTTATAACTGTTGTTTTTGGGTTAATGATTGACTGGCAAAACATTGGACCAAAATTGATTAACGAATTTATAAATATTAAGTATACCAGTCAGACAATAAATATCGGCGCTAACCAGAATATCAATTTCGCCCCCAAAAAGAAAGGATTCAAGGTTTAGCTAATGAACTCGTACATCTTAATAAGACTTGGAGGAAAAGTATGGGACAGGATAGCGAGAAAATTTCATATACCAAAATCGAATGTTCATTAATCATTATCAGAGTTGTTAAAGGATCTAGATATAAAAATGTGGTATCTTATCTGTATCTAGATAGATTTTTGATTAAAATATATGTATCTATATACTATTTTAGACGATGTATCTGTATCTAGATCCATGTAAAAAGTATCTTTTAACAACTCTGATCATTAATAAATTTATTAAGCTTTAAAAAGAAAATTAAAAACTCTGTTGAATCAATCTTGTATAATACCTATTTTTTTAAAAAAAATATTATTCAAATAAATATGATTATAAAAATAGATGCTTCAAAAATAGACTAGTAACTATTATCAATTGTCGCGGTATTGACTTAGCCATAATATTTTCGCGAAATAGTTTTCGCTATATTATCTTCGCGATAATGACTTCGCTATAAAACTTTCGCGAATATTGATTTGCGATAAAGGTTTCGCTATAAAATAGAGGAGTACCCATACCACTTTTTGAAGGCCGATCCGATCCGATATTAAATTAATATGGGTCGATTACCGATCCGATATCATATCTAATTTTGTATTCTGTAAAAATACCAATGGTTTTTAATTTTTAATATACTTTTTATAGTATAACATCTATAATTTAACTACCATAACTTATGCCATTTAAATATATTATAATGATCAGTTATAGTTTATATTCAATTCAATAAAATATTTTTAGTGTTAAATAACTTTTATATAATAAATAATACATTAATTATATACATAATAAATAATAAATATATATGATATTTGAAATTAATATTTAAAATAATATTTAACATTAATATATAGAAGATTTCTTTTTAGAAATTACAAAATTTTCGATTTATCAAAGGTCAGCCTGCGGCGATAGTAACTGTCAATATCACCAGCTTCACATTATCGCACACTTTTATAAATAGAATGCGCAAAAAAATAACAATATGGCAGAATGTTTATTAATCAATTATTATTATTAAAAAATATCAGAGTTGTTAAAAGATACCTTTTAAATGGATCTAGATGCAGATACATCGTCTAAAAATTTAATTTATCTAGATACAGATACAGCTTCTAAAAAATTATCTTGATACGGATACAATTTAAATGTATCTAGGTAGAGATACATTTTTTATTATACTCTTAGATAAAGTTTGAATAAACTTAAATTAGGATTCTAATATGAAAATTCATGAAATGATCTTAAAAATTTATTGACTCGATATCACATTTATCAAAATATATAACTAAAATAATGATTTTTAGATATTAATTATAATATATGATTAAATAATTATAAATTATTATTAGATTTCAGTAACAAGATATTTTCAAAATTTTGGTCATTAAGACATCCTCGTTTATTTGTGCAGACATTTTTAGCTATACTAAAAAGTCTTTCAACAGGGGCGCTGGAAGGGATTGTGGTGTTATATTTAATGAATAACATTTTTATATCAGGATATTGTTTAAAAATGCTAAAATCTCGGCCTTCATTTTTGAAAAAACTATTTAAAATTTGTTGATTATCAGAATTTAAAACATTAACAATCATATCTCCTATTGTGGGATACTGAAAAAAATCGGATATTAAATTATTGGTTTTTTTCACAGGTTTATGATTCTGATATTCCAATATCCTGAGCAGTAGTATAAAGATCTGATATTGATATTGGTGCAACTGTTTCTTCATCTTCCAGATCATCAATGGATTCACTAATATTTTCAATTGGCTTGAAAACTCTATCATAAATAAGTAATAACCTAAAAGACTTAATAAAGTTTTTGGCATTATCAGTAAAGGTCTTTGAGATTTTATTTTGTATGCAATAATCCTTTGCTATATCTTGTAAATTTTTTGCTATTTTATCATATGTATGACTACCAGTCATTCTTTTACAAGCCAACGCTACATTTTTTCTTTCCAAACTTGTTGAATCTATATAGTGTGCAGTGACTCCTATGTATGAACTAAAAATTAACATTTCTTAAAACTGCTCAAATAATATGTATGTAACTAAATTATTATACAAATTTAAATGTTAGCTATACCGGCGATAGGCACTCCAACAATCTGCTGTTGTACATATTAACGATGGTTCTATTAGACTTTTAATGATTTCTTTCTTTTCATTCTTCTATCTTTGGGAGATTCTAGCAACCACTGTCTGTCGGCAAATTATATTTTTTTGTGGAGCTAATGTTTTGATCATTTTTATAAATGAAGGATTTTCAACAATTGAAAATGGCTGATTGCTATCTATAATAAAATCAGTTATAAAATCATCTAAAGTGGTTTGGGTTAAAGTCTGAGGTCTCTTGGAAAAAAAATCAATGGACGATGAGCCTAGTCCAATATTTTATTTAATAGATTTTTTCTCCTTCCCCTTTTTTATTTGGATTAAGAGTGTTTGATGTTTTCTCTTAAAATTTAAAATTGTAAACATTTATTTAGTATCTATACCCTTAAATGTTTTACAATGTTGCAAGTTTAGGTAATGCTAACTGAAATTTGCATATTTTTTGATAGACATGGCAAACATTTTACTAACAGATATTTGTTTTCTTAATTTTGAGATATTATTTTAAAATATGGTCTATAAATTGGCCATGGAAGAATGTCATCATTTTTGTCATCAATATTAATCTTAAAAATTAATATAATAGAATAAAATAACATACCAATTCCATTGCAATTAAAAATGGTAAATGGATGGTAATATCAGAATTTGCTTGTTTTGATAACTCGGACATAGTATTTAATTAATATTTATATATTCTTTTTTATAAATAAGTTTTAATATTTTACCTATATATATAATTTTTTAATATATATTAATATTAAGTTATATGCTCATATGAAATAAAATAAATTTTACATTCAAGTATTTTTATTTATAATATAAAAAAGTGTTAAATAGAAGTATATCAAAATGTATCTTAAAAAGTATCTAAAAACAGATACAGATACCTCTAAGATAAAATCTAGATACAGATACTTTAATCAAAAATCTATCTATATACAGATACCACATTTTTATATCTAGATACTTTAACAACTCTGAAAAATATATATAAAAATGGATTTCTATTTTATTTATAAAAATAAATGATTTTAGATATAACTTTTTTATAACATTTTATTTTTTTATTAAAGACGCCTATATATATCGGATCGGATAATTTTATAATATTGGCCAATATCCGATATTTGAAAATGGGTGAAATATCGGCCCGACCCGATCCGATAAAAAATATCGGTACCCTACTATAAAATCTATTCGCGATAACCCATTTTCTACACTCTGATATGTAAAATGAATGAAAGAAATGATTGCAAAGAAAATAACTATTTTATACAAAAAAAATGAAGAGAATAAGTAAAGATTGGAAGGATTATCGAGAAAAAAAAATCTTCTAATAAGTTTTATAGTTTTGATATGGCTGAATTTTTTTTATAAATGTCTCTATCATAAATATTGTTGTTAGACGAAATTTTTTACACAGACAATTACGACAATTTTTAACGAGGTTTAAAGTTCTAAGAACTGAAAACGAACTAGATAGGAAATGCCTATCTGTGACCTAAACGTCATTTGGAGACTATTTTTTTTTATTGAAATTTATTCTAAAAATGTGATTTAAAAATATATATATTCCCATAGACGCAAACAGAGAGGAATACGTTAATCCTTAAGCCGATTCCTATCAGTTCACCTTTGACAAACGGTCACCGCCCCGCTTACACGCCTTACGAGAATGTCTACGACTACGCCCCCAACCCTCCAAAAAAGGATCATCATCTCGTTGGCAACGACCAAAATGGCCTCGATGATGCCAGTATAGAGACGGAAAGTTGGGAAGTCAAATGCCGAAAACCGGGTGGGGAGGAAGGGCAGAATGGGAATGGCAATCTCGACATTGGAACTACAGTTACGACAGAAATCGACGTTCTAAGAGAGCTGAGTAAATCAATTTTATTTATTTCAGATTGAAGATTTTTTTAAAAAATTCGCCAAAAGCGTTACTTTATAAAGTATCTCCCTTACCCATTATTCGATACTTTCCAAAAATATTAACGCCATTACTGCACTTTTTTAAACTTATACAGATTTTTTTTTATTGCTCGGAATGTGCAGATTTATTAGTCAATAAAGAAGATCCCGAGTCCATATATTCCTTGTGCGAAAAGATTGGCTCCGGGTAAAATATTTAGATTTATTATTTTAAAAATAATATCGCTCAAAGTTCTCTTTTATTTTATTATAAAGGAATAAACCATTTCTGGAATATTTATTATAAAATTTTTTTAAATAAATAAAATAAATGCTTGAAAAAAAATAGCGCATCAGGTACGGTTTACATTGCCCGACACAAGGACACCAACAAGCAATACGCCATCAAAAGTATCGATTTGAGTCAACAGCCCAAAAAGGAACTGATAATCACCGAAATTAAAGTTCATTTTTTTTAGAAATCTTTGTCTCTATTTTTTTTTGATTGGTTTGCTGCATCTTTGCTATCGTTGTTATACTTTATACATCCCAAAAAAATCGAATAATTTAATATAAACAAATATTTTATTTGATACGTAACGACATCAAAAATTCCTAATTTTATTTATAAGCTCATAATAGTAATTTTTTATACAATTACGAATTTTAAGGTGTAAAGTTTTTCTAATTGTTTTCTGTGGAGACATGCTTGTTCTTCGTCTTTTTAGTGGGTCCTTTGTCAGGTTTACCCGGCTAGGCCATTTTCCCTTCTAGTGACCTTTTTCTATTTTACTCGGTCCTGGGCATCGCACTTGCTCAAACCTAACTTTTCCATCTCGTTATCTAGTGCTTTCGTCCAGCTTGTCTTTGGTCATCCTCTAGGGTTTGTTCCCTCCGCTTTCAACCAACGGCATAAATCCATCCAATCACCTTTGGTAACATGTCTAAACCATCTCAGTCTATTTACTCTCAAGACATCACCCATTGTTTCTATCCCAAATTCTCTCAGTTCCTGGCTTGCTTTTCTTTCCATCAAAGATACTCCTCACATTTATCTGATCATTCTCATTTTCGTTCTTTCTAACTTGGCTTCATGCGTCGCCTTAATAGTCCATATCTTGTTGCCATTACATCATATAAATTTTCACAATAGACATTGTTATCGGTTAAAATTGAAGACATCTCTCTAAATTCTTTCCAAGCATATCTCATCCTTGCCACAACTGCCAAATCAACCTTCCCCCCCACGTCATCTGTGTTGATTGTATGGTCTAGGTAACAGAATTTCCTTATTTTTTTTAAAATTATTTCATCACAGGATTTTCACTGAATGCAAACCCCTCTCAAAAACCTATGTCTACCCCCCCCTAAAAAAAATTGTTTAGCCTAAGCTTCGAGATTTCGATAATATATGTCTAGGTCCTTTGTTCCTTCTATGAGCAAAATCTTCAAACTTGCGTAATATTTTTCTGGATGAAATATTGAGTAAGCCGTTTTTAAAAATCCGCTCAAAACGAGCCGTTTAACAACCACTACATATAATGTAAGGCCTTACATTTTTTTTTAAAAAAAAAGAAGTAATTTTATTTCGATCCACAAGGTCATGCGGGAAATAAGTCACCCGAACCTCGTCAATTTCGTAGCTTCTTACTTATTGCATTCTCCCGAATTTCCTATCGCACAACAAAACGATCGAAGTTCAACCTTAGCAAGTGGCAAAAAATTTCCCCATCAAAAACCAGATAACTTCGTCGAAGAAACGAGTGTAAACCAAATAAATTCTTCGCCTCATTCCAGCCTGAAGAACCATAATTTATGGGTCGTTATGGAGTATTTAGCCGGCGGACCGCTGACAGACGTTGTAACCGAAACTGTGCTTGACAGAGGTCAAATAGCTACTGTATGTAGGGAGGTTCTGAGGGGGCTCGAGTACCTGCACGCCAAGGGGATCATCCACAGAGATATCAAGAGCGACAACGTGCTATTAGGTATTCGTGCCCTCCATTTTATTTGTGATCCTAATGTTAAACTAATATTTTTTTTTCCCGATATTTTTAAAAAAAGTTATTTTTCTAATTTTTTTTTTAAAAAATGCTAATTTTGGATGATCTCTAAAGGTTTAACCGATGGTCGGGTAAAATTAACCGATTTCGGGTTTTGCGCTCAGCTAAACAATCACGTGACTAATGGCGTCGACTGCAAGAGAAGAACCATGGTGGGCACTCCTTATTGGATGGCGCCGGAGCTGGTGAATAGAAAGTTTTACGATTACAAAGTGGATATTTGGAGTTTGGGAATTATGATAGTAGAGATGATTCAAGGTTGCTGATGATTTATGCTTTTTAAAACTTTCTTTGGTGGGGGGGGGGGTTAAGGATAGACAAATCTTACACAAGTGGCTATGCTCCGTTATAATAACACTATGAATATGGGCATATTTTTTTGCCAGTCATAATTGAATCAAAAAAGGGAATTGTGAAAATAACTGGTATTAAAATAGCAAAATTGTGTTTAATTCCTTTGGTTCAGTAACGTCCGTTCCAATCATGGACCCCGATCACCGCCAATTTTTACATAATTTTGGAATTATATATTTTTTTTATTTACTTCATTTTCTAGGCGAACCTCCTTACCTAAACGAAACCCCTCTGAAAGCGTTGTACCTTATAGCCAATAATGGAAGGCCGTACATCAAAGAGTTGGAAGAGAATAACGAGTCTTTTAAAGATCTCAAATTATTCGTCGACAAATGCCTCGAAATTGACGTGGAGTGCAGGGCAACGGCCGCAGAATTACTCAAAGATCCTTACCTCCTTCAAGCCAAGCCCCTGAGTTCTCTCACGCCCAACATTCGAGCTGCTAAGAGGGCCCTCGGGAAAGCTATCATTCATTGATTCGATACTTCACTCATTGTAACTGTGAATTACTTTCTTTAGATGGTATTAGCAAATAATACCCAAGAGTTATGTGCCCCGCGATCCTTTTATAAGCACAAGATTTTTTTTCGTAAATTCTTCGCCTTTATGCCAATAATCTTTTCCCCAATCGTGAAAATGAAAATATTATATTGCAATGTGCTTTAAGTTTTTATCCCATATTAAAAATATAAATAATTGGTCCTCTCATAAATTTTTAGCTTCCAATCATCTCCTAATTTACATTTTTTCGTATGTAAATAACATATTCAGATGTAAATTGCCAATCAAAATGGGACAGCTGTATTTTATTTTTTTTAGTACATTTGTCACAAAAATTATATTAATTTTGGGCGTAGGGTAAAATAAAAGTTTATTTGAGCTGTCATTAAATTCTTTTCGTAATTAGTGTAACAAAATTTCCCACAAATCATAACAGACTGCATTTACAGCTGATCAATTCCTTTTTTGTTATATGAGTATTAATTTTATCTTTAATTCTATTTCACGATAATAAATCTGAGAATTAATTAATCTCACTATAAGATTTTAAAAATCACACTCCCATGTTAAATCGCTTTGGCAGATGCAACTATTAATTCAGCCTAATACTTATTTATTTGATTGGCATTTTACATATTTCGATATTGATTTGCGAAAATATATAACTTATTCCAAAATTATGTAAATTTTTTTAATATTTTTTTTCTCTGTTACATATAAAAATTGTAAAAAAAAAAATCACTTTTTAAAAAAATGGAAAAATATGTATTTTTGTTGGCCATCTTTCACATTTTTTTTGCACACATGAAACATTTTTTTTTACCTTTATATTTATTTTTGAAACTTTTTATATCATAAAATCTTATTTTTTATAATAATATATCAATTTTTGAAACATCTTTTATTTAAATTAAATAAACGAGAATAAAATTAATCGCGTGAGAAGTAACATCGGTTCTTAATATCCAAATGTTCCAACAAAATATCGTAACTGTTGTATCTGTCCATTTATAATTGACATTTATGGACGTTTTTCAATATATTTTTTCGGGAAGGATATATTTTGTTTAAAAATTTTTTCTTTCTTTTTTTTTTAACTTAAACCACGTGAGATGAAAAAATAAAGAAATATTCAGTTTTGAGATTTTTGATATATACGAAGTATTGGGATTTTGATATTGATAAGAAATATTGTTTGTTACATTTGAAATAGTAACCTTAGCCTCGTGTTGTTAAACGTCTCGTTTTGAGCCTATTTTTATAAATAGGCTAACTCAATATTTTAGCCAGAAAAATATTGCCTAAGCAATGAGATTTCGCCAATAGATGTCAGAACCTTTGTTCCTTCTACAAGCAAAATCTTCAGGCTTGCGTAATATTATTCTGGATAAAATATTGAGTTAGCCGTTTAACATTAGCCTCAAATTGGGTCTCATTAGGGGATCCAGCAATTTGTTCATATTTTTTTAATTTGCAATTAAAAACTAAAATTTGACAAATAATTATAATAATCAGGAATATGCTATATAAAAATTAACATAATAAAATGTTAATTTATCCCGGGGTAAGTGTTGTTAAACGGCTAACCCAATATTTTAACCAAAGAAACGTTATTCAAATCTCAGGATTTGGTTAATAGATGTCCAAACCTTTCTTACATTTATGAGCAAAATCTCTAGTCTTGCGTAATATTTATGGTTAGAATATTGGGTTGGTCGTTTAACATTATCCCAGGGCATCCAAGAATTTTGGCATAATTTTTGTCGAAAGTTCCTGGGCTTTGGAATGAATTGAGAATATTCAGCAAAACTTTAAAAGATTTTTACGATATTCAACCCAGGTCAGAATTATGAGTCTGCTAATCGGGTCTGGGTCGGTTTTTACTGACTCACTCATGATCGAGGTACGATAATTTATTTTACCCTTGGAGCTCATATTTTAACGCTAGATTTTACCCAAATTTAACATTTTTTTTGTTCCATATTAAATCGTAGATATTTTGACGTTTTTCCGGAAGAAGCCAATTTTTTTGGCCTAATCTCGAGGCTCTAATTGATTTAAGCCAAAATATCGGGTTTAACCTTGTCGGCTAAAAAAAATCGGCTGAGCAGTTTTGTTAGTTCGAGTTAGAAAAATGGAACCTATATTTTAATACTCCCAAATCTCTAAAATAAAATATTCCTCAAGCAAATTTTATGATTATAGGCATGTTTTAGATTTTTATAGAAATATAAAAAAAAATGGGGATTAGCTTAGCTATAACCCATCTAACCGCTCAAAAATCTTTCCTTTAAATCGCTAAATTATTAAAATATAATTATTCTTTTTTGTTTATAAAACTACCTGAAACATCGATTATGAATAAATATTACAATGCATTTATTTTAAAAGTCATCATAAAAACACACGGGCACCGTAGACATAAAACAAGGTATTAACATCATAAACAAATATTGACTAAAAAATTTTATTAGAAACATAAAAACAAGTAATAATGAGGTATAGTTACTGTTGTTATGTCGCATAACTTTAGCCAATTCCAATAAAGCTTAGCCAAGTTTTTAGCCTAAAAATTAGGCTGAAACCTCTAAGTTGAAACCTAAGCTTAACTATTGGAACTAAATCTTTAGGATAAAAACTTGACAGAATCATTTTAGAATTGGTCAAAGTCAGGTGATTTAACAACACTAGGTATAGTTTTCTTTATGAATTGTCGATAAATACGGTTTCCCATAATATAATATAATTGCTCTATATGAAAAAATATAATTTATTATTTTTTTTAAAAAAAAGGTTTGCTAAAAGAAAAAAATATAAATATTGGGTGAAAAAAAAATCGCCCCTCATAATAAGGCAATATAAATAATTCGGCATATTTATAGCAATGACAAATGTAATAATTTTTTTTTGTTAAAAAAAAGGGGATTAAATTGTAAAAATGTAATTATTTTTTTTGGTATCGGGATACATATTTTGTGATTTTTAATATAATACGATTAGGGTGCTTGATCATCTACTATTTTTTTGTAGAAAGAGTATTTATTTTATTTTTTTTCGTTCTATTGGTTATAAAATTGCAACTAATTTTTATTTTGAAAGGCAATTTTTTTGTGAAATAAAAATTTATATTCCGATGAAGGAGCTCTGCTTGAATTTGATTTCCGGGACAGGACCTAATAGAGAAAAAAATAATCATTGTAATTGTATAGTATATTTTGGCACTTTTAAAAAAAGATAAACTGCGCAATAGTAGTCTTCATTTTTTAACAAGCAGCCAATCAAATGCAAATAGAATAACGAATTACCCGTATTCGATTTGTCTATTTATTATATTCGATTGGCATAATTACGAATAATTATTCGATACGTTTAGAAGAATCGAATACGAATAATTATTCGTATTTTTTTTTAAAATTTAATTTTATTCGAATTGAAATCCCTGGATCTTTATGACCCGACGAAACGCGAATCGGTTCGCCCAGATTTTAACACCTCTTTTAAGGGTCCGGTTTTGGTTAATCATTTTCTGGGGTTTCAAACTGAGTCTTAAAAAAAATGTGTTTCAATGTGAGGTGGTCTATATAACAACATATCAGCTATAGAAAAATTAATAGTGAGCCATTTTTAAGCAGGGTGTGATGGAAGGCTCGAGGGAATAAAAATGCTGGCACAAGTAAAAAGTTATCATTTTTGTACCATGCTTTTCGGAACAAAATGTTTCAAAAGGCGCCGCCATCCTACCAGTTACGTTGATGAAGTGAGCCATAGAACAAATTTCATTTTCAGCTCCAGGCAAAATTAGGGGCTAAAAAAGGTTAAAATAAAATATATATAAATGTTAAAGTTTTTATATATCTTTTCTTATGTAACCAAACCTTTATGGTACAATCAATGACATTATAATAATACCTAGACTGACGCCGCCAATCATAATAATGCATTTGAAACCGTCGTTGAATGCAAATTAGCTGGACCCGCCATTTTGGTATCCCATATAGTAATTATTCTCATTATTAAAAACTAACTATTAAATTAATTGATAACTTTGCTTCCTTACTATCTCGATGATCGGGCAACTCCTTAATAAAGTTTTGCGTCAGACATAGAAATAAAATTGGCCTCTCGTTTAAAATTTTTTAATAATGATATGGGTAATCAAAATGGCGTCCCCAGCTGTTTTTCAGTTGACGTACACTTTTATTGAACGCATCGTCAGTCTAGGCTATTATTATATGTCATTGGGTACAATGTGATATTGTGTTTTATAATGGGTAGCGTAGTGCATAGCGGTCGGCGTTGTCAAATATTTTATGAATGTGTTTTGTTTTAGATGTAAGGTGGAATCCAGCTGATGACTAAGTTTTTGTTTTTCTTGAACCCACTAGGCTAGGTTATAGGGTACGATATATAAGAATATAGGGTGCTAACGCATCCGTTAATATATATTAAAAATAAAAACGTATCTTATATAAGCGTTCAAAAAAAAAATTTAGTCGTTGTTTAGTAAGGTGCTATATGATGACCAACAACGCAATATATCATTACCCGTTTTATATGCCTCGTCCATTTTCAATCCGAGAAGAAGGTAAAAAAGGGTATTCAAAAAAATAATATTAACCGCTAAATCCCGTTAAAAAAAATGAGTCACGAAAATTGTAGTTATAACCTTTCCCAAATATAAAATCCGAACCCACTCATGACTTTTAGTGTCCCGATAAACTTCGAAGATCAAATCTGCCGCGAAGGGAACCCAAGATCTAAAATTTCCCAACACCATTAAAAGTGGATTTAGCGTGGAATCGTGAATAGCGTATAGTTCCATTTTGTAGAACCTTTTTTTTTTGCATGTTTTAAATAAATTAAAGAATAAAAAATATAATTTTTTTTTTCTTTCTAATTCGTAATTTTCTCCGAATTCCTTGTGAACCCATCCAGAGCTGGGAATTCAAATTTTGCCGAAAATCCCAATCCAGGCCAGTTTCTAAGGCCGCAAGAATGATGACGGAGGTTTCCCATGCACCTGATGTGAATGAATGACAAATGGGAATCTATGAAGAAAGCCTGGCGGAAGGTAAGAAAATATTTTTGGTTGGGAGAAAAAGGCCACTTGGGGCTAAAGAACGTGGTGGTCGGGTGTTGGGTGTAGCGAAGAGAATTTTGTATACAAAGTTCACGACGAAGAACATGTATATATGATGGAAAGTTTGGCAAGGAGCTATCGGTGAAGTGCCAAGAAAATAGGCGTGAAAATGCAAAAAGAGGGTTAGGTAAAAAGTGCGAGTAAAATAATTACACTTAAAATATAGAAAGAGCCAAATGAACCAATCAAATTTAAATAACGGGCGTCAGTTTAAATTTTTAAGTAAATGATGGCCAGTAAAAGAAAATTCAAAAATCATGAGCCGGACGGTTAAACATGTGATCGGGGTATCTGAAAGCGACGGGATATAATAGGTCAAATGTTTTAAAAATGAGGAAGGAATTATGATCTATATATAGTAAAGGAATCAAGAAATTCGTGGAGGTTGAACGTCGCACCTGAATAAAAAACGAATGGAAATGGAATAATTATGTCGATGTTAATTGAGCGAAAGGTTAGGGAAAATGCCTGGCTGCAGAGTTGGAAAACAAAAATATGTTAAGAGTTGTAACAAATAAGAGGTGACGACAGTTAAGGTATCCAAAGATCTATAGTTTTTAAAATAAATAAATTGAATTTGACACTCCGTCACTTATTTATCATAGTAAATGCAGGTGGTGGCTAGAGAGATGAGTGGGCAAAAGACTCCCAGCAAAACCTCTCGTACGCCGATTACTCTAGCATAGACGGATAAAAAAAAATAGTGCGAACAGAGTATAAAATGCTTTAAATAGAAAGGGGGGTAGGGATATGGAAGTGATTTTTTTTTATCCGATACAACCGATTACCAAAAAAAAAAGATACAATAATTATTATGCTAGAGCTGGTCTTCTGACGCACGTAACAACGGTGTCGTTTTGAACCGTGTCCCGTGTCCAATATATGTACGCGGTTTTGGGTTCGTAAAAAGACTTGAGTGACGAAAAAAAAGACAATCTGCTGATGAAAAAAACTTGGCAATTTGTAAAAAGTGGTGAAGGGCGATGCTAAGGATCTCTGGAGAAAAGGGATTAGACGGAGAAACTTACAAATGAGTGATTACATATTCTCTAAAATATATTAAAATTTTAAGGAAGATAAATATATTAAAGATTTTTTTTTTTACCCAGAGCAGGTGAGTGCGCTCCTCATGTTAGCTAGAATGGTGTCTAATACAGGTCCAATAGACCATCTCAATCCATGCCTAAATCTAAGGTATATAAAAATTATTCATTTTTTTTTTGATATTTATTTATTCCCTATTCTTTTCCCATAATTTTTTCTTTCTTTCTTTCTAATATATATATATATGTCGTATGGGGTTTCGGAATCCGTGGGGATTCGGAATCTCTCAATTTTAGATCATTTACTAAGGGCGATTTTCGGATTTTAAAAATCTGATTTTACAGGAATTGTATTCCAGCATGTGTAGAGTATTTGTCCTATAAATTTCAGCCAATTTTAGCGATAGACATTTTAGTATTTTTTAATTTATATGAAAAATTCATATAAATTGGAAGTAGTCCTAAAGCTCATGGCAAAATTGTTTGAAATTTACAGTTTGGGTACTCTACCCATGCTAGAATACATTTCCGGTTAAATCGAACTTTAAAAATTTTTAAATCGCTCTCGGTAAAGGATTTAAAATCAAGAGATTCCGAATCCCCACGATTTCCGAATCCCACGACGACACATATATATATATCGCCCCTCTAATGGTTGAGGAATTCGACTAAGACATGCTAAGCGTTCCTCATTTTCCGTCTTACTGGAATAATTTTAAATGTGGGAGATTTTATAATAAATTCTATGAACGACACAATATATATATATGTCGTGTGGGGATTCGGAATCTCTTGATTTTAAATCCTTCACCGAGAGCGATTTAAAAAATTTTAAAATCCAATTTAACCGGGAATGTATTCTGGCATGTGTTAGAGTATTTACACCTATAAATTTCAGCCAATTTTGCTATGAACTTTAAGACTACTTCTAATTTATAGAAAATACTAAAATGTCTATGGCTAAAATTGGCTGAAATTTATAGGGTAAATACTCTACACATGCCAGAATACATTTCCGGTTAGACAGGATTTTAAAAATTTTTTTAAATCGCCCTCTCGGTAAAGGATTTAAAATAAAGAGATTCCGAATCATACAGTATCTATAGCATTTGGTATTTTAAAAGGTTAAATCAAATATCCAGGGTATGGTATCTTTTTAAAACAATTCAGCCATCCAACTCTCATTAAATTAAAAATTTTTCCCATTCTCCCGTTTTTCATTACATTTCTTAACACACAAAAAAAAATCAAAGTTAGGGAATCTGCGAGGGTTACTCATTTATAGGGCCCGGTTCGGGTTTGTCAATCTCTTTAATTTTCCGATCCGGTCAGGGGCGGGCCTCCGTACCCGCGATTTCGGGTATTATCTATTTTGATGACGCATTATACACATATATATATTTAAAAAAAATACTAATTTCTTATTTGGATTTATTACGTGTGTTTATCGAGGTTTAATAGCATGTTGTAGCTTTGATGGACGTACCTTTCGAATTTCTCCATCCACGAATCCCATTCGACTAACAAGGGCAACGGTCTAGGAATACCGTGAGCCTGGATTTATAGAAAAAAAAATTTTTTTTTTTAAATTGATTTGTAATTGACATTTATGGACGTTTTTTTAAAAATATATTTTCTATAAGAAGAAGACGGATAGTTGAATAGTGATAAAGATTTGAATGAGGATATTGAGGTTAGTGATGTTAAACGGCTCGTTTTGAGTCGATTTTTTAAAAACGGCCAACTCAATATTCTAACCATAAATATTTGCAGATGTAACTTGTTTTGTTTTAAATTAATATTTTTTAACCGAATTCAAAAAATGATTTGTTGTCAATCAAAAGTCAGGTAAATTTATTAAGGGCTTGTGCCATTTAAGATGAAACAAGTTATAAATGGACGCTACTCGGAATCGCCACAAGATAAGCAGTAAATGTTTAATGCACATAACCATCTTGGAATGTCAATAAAACTTTAAAAAGGAATTTAGCGAAAAAAGAAATGGTCAGCATTCACATCAAATGAAATGAGGCCAATGTTGTGGATCGGTTCTTAACAATTTTCTTGCCGATCCGATCCAGAAACAAATTCTTGATCGGCCAATTTATAACAATCAAGTATGCATAAAAAAAACTAGCTGCCAATCTAGTGCTATTTTCTAAGATATACATATTTTTATAATACAGTTCATGTTAATATCGACAAAAAATATCAGCACCGCACTAAAAAATTTCCCATGGAGGAAAACATTAAATGGATACCCCCATACTCTCAAACTTTTGTTACGTTAGAAGCAAATTTAATTTTTATACTAAGAAAAAAATAATTTAAAACTTTACCTAGGAAAATAGATTAAAATGAATCCAGACTCGTACTTTTATTGCACAAGAGAAAAAAAAACTGGAATTGGATAGATGATTAAAAAAAATATTTAAAAATTTCTTTATAATTTGTCACGAAAAATAAGTTTAATTTTTAAAAGATAAATGTCAAACATAAAAATTTAAATGCTAAAGCAGAAGAGTTATTAAAGTTGTCTATAGATACAAAAATGTGGTATCGGTATAGAGATACTTTTCGGATACATTTTAATTAATTCATTTAATTATATGTCCGAGTTTATTTCATTTACAAGGCAAATTTTATTTAATGCAAACGGGATCATGGAACGGTAAATTTTATACTAGATAAATGTATAAAAAAAATATATGTATCATAAATTTTTGGATCAATATTTCTAGAAAAATTCCTGAAATCAAATAATTCTAATATTAGATTCTTTTTATGGGCATCCCTTAGATGATATAAATATTGATATAAGTTTTGACACTCATCGAAATTTTGAATGATTTTGAATAAACTTGATTTTAATATATTTATATTTGATGATTATACCCAATAAAGTTGTTTTTCGTTAAATATAACGACCAACCTGCCCCGTCAAGTGCCCCGGGTGGTTTAATGTGGTTAAAAATTTTACAAATAAACGAAGGTGCCTTAAATGAATAAAATAAAATAAATTAAGATTGTTTTGTTTATTAAAATTTAACTATTATTTACAATTCATTTTACATTACATATTTTGTATATTGAAATTTAATAAAATCTAGAAATCATTATTTTAATTATATTATTTTAGGTGGAGGTGATATCAGTTTAATAAAAAAAAATTAATAGCTAACATATATATTTAATAAATCGAATCTGTATAAAAATATACATTTTCACAAATGTATTTTGAGTAAAATCGATTTTAGACGATGTATCTGTATCATGATTCATGAAAAATATCTCGTAATAACTCTTCTAAACAGTTTTTTTATTTTTCATGTTTTTTTTTAAAAAAAAAATTTAATTTTTGTAAACAAATGACGCAATCGAGCCGTTGTGAGCCAATATCAGCAAAGCGATACCCAAGATGGTGGATGAATAAAAATTGCTACTACAACCTCCCCCCCCCCATCCTCCACAGATCATGCATTGATTGGTTTAAAGATATTCTAACCCTTTTAAAGATGGTATTTCTACCCGACACCAAGGAAAAGATAATTAAAAAGAGAAAAATGATATCCGAATAATAAATTGGAAAATAAAAATAATAAAATGGAAGTGACGAAGGAGAAAAAAAATTACAATATTTTATTTCTAGTAAACCTACCACCAAAATCAGACAAAATTTAAAAAACTAATTTTATATAAAAAATATTTTAGGTTTTTTTACATCAGCTGCCTTCATGGTATCGTAAATTTCGGTGACAGTTAGCTTGGTATCCTTGTCGATATCTGTCAAAAATATTTTATACAAGTATAATATAATGTATCTAAGCGCAAGAAACTAACAATTGTCAGGGTTCTTCTGGACACGAATTCGGGTTCAGAAATTTAAAATTGTTTGGATGGGCATTTTGAGCCGGATTAAAGGTTAGAGATGTGGCTTAGAGTTAGTTAAAGGTTCGAGAGAAATGGGTCAGGGTTTAAAATGTATTAAAAATAGTATGTTTTTTATTTAAAAAAATAATAAATAAATAGAATTCAATCGGCTTTTATTAATAATCGTCAAATCTGACAGGTCGCGTGATTGCCAAATAGACAAACGCTAATTATAAATCAGCTGTACCGACAAATTTCGCTTGAGAGTTGAACCATAATCGAAAAAAAAGCAAAGGTTATAAATGAGGGGGGGGGGAACTATTAAGAGATGTGGCTAGGGTTAATTAAAGGTTCGAGAGAAATGGGTCAGGGTTTAAAATATATTAAAAATAGTTTATTTTATAAAAAAAAATATATATAATTCAATCGGCTTTTATTAATAAATAGTCAAATCTGACAGGTCACGTGGTTGTAGATAGACGAATACAAATTATAAATCAGCTGTTGTACCGGCAAATTCCCCTTGAGAGTTTAAACCATAATCGGAAGAAAAAAACTATTAAGAGATGTGGCTTAGGGTTAATTAAAGGTTCGAGAGAAATGGGTCAGGGTTTAAATTTAAAAAAATAGAATTGAATCGGCCTTCATTAATAATCGTCAAATCTGACAGGTCACGTGATTGTCAAATAGACGAATACATATTATAAATCAGCTGTTGTACCGACAAATTTCCATCGAGAGTTGAACCCTAATTCGAAAGAGAGAAAAAAAAAGCAAAGGTTATAAATGAAGGGAAAATAAATAAAAAAAACTATTAATAGAATAATTATTCTTATAAGGTACTTTTAAAATTTACAAAAATAAAAATCTTGTAAAACAAAAACACGTTTCTCTCAAAAAAAATATATTTTTCGTAGGGTTAATGATAAAAAAAAAATGTAATTAACAGATAGAACATTTTAATTTTGCTCAAAGCATTTTTCTTACAATTTTTTTTTTTTTACTTTATCAAATTCTGAGAAATAATTTTTGTTTTTTTTTGTCGTTAAAATTGTTCTCTCATAAATTAGAATGATGAATTACGAACATAAAAAATAGTGCGTGTTTTTTTTATAATCTTATTTAGTTTTTTTTTTTCCTTCTCGAATATTGCTAGTGCTAAAATAATAGCACCTTTAATGAGTTTTCAAAACCGCGCATGCGCGCGCGAGTCTATCCGAGTCCGAATCGAATCCGGGTTTTACCGGTTTGGAACCCGGATTCCAAAATTTATTTCGGACCAGATTTTGACCTGAAAAAAAAGGTTCAAATTCTGTCCCAGGGCTTCTAACGTGAAATCTTAATGCATTGGAAAGTTGGTTACTGGTAAGTTTCTTGAGGGCCTCCAAATCGGCCAAGTATTGCGGAATAGAGTTCATGGCTTGTAGGTAAGCGTTCATGACTTCTATGAGAGGCGGGCATATTCTAGGGTTGGGGAACATGAATTCCCTGTTCAATTCTTCTATGGCGATCACGACCTCCTTCGAATCTGAATGTTGTAAAAAATATAAGGATTATTTTGTAACGTTGTTTTCAAAATCATTTTTAAAAAAAACCATTTATTTTAGATTAGAGAAGCGCATGCGCATCCTCAGTGAAATTTGTAACAAAAAAAACAGAAAGAAGATAGGCTTTCCAAAGTTTTTGCTAGATCGAAAAGCTACGTCGAGTTTCAGGTGACAGGACTTCGAAAGTCTATCTCAATTATTTCTTCATCGGATATGGTGCACGGGATCGGGATGGAGGGGGGGGGAGGTATATTTACGCTAAAAATTAGATTTGGACCGATATAATAATGGCAGATGTCAATAAACTTATCCTGCATCAAAATTGAAAGCTTTGACACTTTTAGGATCTCCGTTAGAGATAAAGGCGAGTCCGTCGTCGAATTCCTGGCCTACATTTCACGGGAGATATCTCGTGCGCGATATGCTATCATGCCGCCCAGCCCACCAAGCTGTCTTCCTATCGAATAACTACCTTCTACTTCCTAAGAATTTTATATACACTCCGATCCTCGCGAATCTTCCATTGGTGATATATCTCAGTTACAGGCTACTTTTACCAACCAGATTCCGGCGGTATTGGCCGTCCACGCTACTTTCCATTCAGACGTTCATATCCTCTCGCCTGTCATGCGAGCCCATCATACACAACACTCACAAATCATCCTGATTCCTTGCTCCTGCAGGCACTCTGGAAATCTCCCCCATTCGCCGATTGAAACTATAGCCATGGCCTTAAAATCTGCCGACATCCCGTCAACCCTTAAACCCTCTAGTCTTTACAGTTTTGATGGTAGACGGGCCTGATAGTTCTACCCTGATTCCTTGGAAAGGGGGTGGGGAATTCCTAACCTAGGATTTCTTATAAATTGATCCTCTTTGCCCCCTTCCAATAAAAATAGAGATGCGCTCATAGACATTGAATCGAATAAACTCGCTTAATATTCGTCATCACTACCTCCCAACTATACATTCCTACTCACAATCGTCACAACTTTAACATTCGTATGGCTCTCACGCCCTAGCCTTTTTTTTAAAGAGTTATGGCACCGGACCTCCGCGAGGACCGAGGATACCAAGGAGGGTTACTACCTACGTCAGCAGAGGTTGGCTCTAAACACGCTAAAGAGTAATTACCCGAGCCTTATTATCATAAATGAACGAGACCCCATAAATGAGCATCCTATGCCTTGGGATACGGTTAGAGACTACTCAGCTCGCTAATGGATATATCGTCGAAAGCCTCCTTTAAGAGAGATGAACAACTTCTAAATAAGATTGCCTATATCTCTAGAGCCTACTTCTCCTAAACAATATAAAAATTATATCATTCTAAATATAATTTTTCTATTGTTTAATTTTGCGTATAAATTACTGTCATAAATATGGATTGTTTTGACCTTGTAAAAAAAAAGAAGAAAATGACAAGTTAAAACAAATGACAATGTGAGATGCAAAAAAAAAATGAAAATTGCGACAAATTTAAAAATGGAAATTTTAAGGAATAGAAAATAAAAAATGATGATAGTTATATTTTATTACCATCGTCGTGAATTTTGACGGGGACATGAAACATGGAGCTGATTAATCCGTGGCTAGAGCACTTCATGCGATTTATATTGGTGCACCTGGCGCTAATTTTTATTTTTGAAAATTCAAAAAAATGAACCAATCAAATGATCGAATCGTAAAGATAATTATAATTGAAATCCCGGGGGAAAATAAAAGAAGGAATAAAAAGTATTCGGACTATATGTTAGCGGCAATGTCTTATTTTCTCAATTTAGCGCCTTTTTTTAAAAAAAAATACGCCCTACGCTACCCCTATAGGCTGTGTCCAAAATACCCAAAAATATAAATAAATTTTTAATGGAAAATTAAAATTTTGGCCTAAATCATTTTTGGTATTTATAGAAATTTGAAAAATCATTTAGGTCAACATTTTAATTTTCCATTAAAAATGGCTTATATTTTTTTTCGCTAGATTTGCCCAAATTGCGCGATTAAATTTTTTTGATACTTTGGACACAGCCTAAAGAAGCTTAATTTATAAAAAAATGAAAGTAGAATCATATAGAGCTTATTAAAAGGTGTAAAAAAAATGTTAATATCATATTTCAAAACTTTTTATAACCTTAGTGGGCTTTTGAAAAAAACAAATTTTTTTTTTGGACTAAACTACGCGTCCCCTTATCAAAGAAGCTTATTTCCTAAAAAAAATTAAAGCATAATCCTATTAAGCTCGTTAAGAAGAATCAAAAAATGTTAATATTAAGTTTATAAATAATTTGTAACTTATTGAGATTTGGGAAAAAACACTTAATTTCTTCTTTTTTTTTTGACTAAACTAGGCTCCCCCCGTTAAATATACATTATTTTTATGAAATGAATACAGAATCATAAATTAAGCTTCTTTAATAGGGGACGCGTAGGAGCGCGTATTTTAATTATGTAAAAAAAAAAAATTTTAAATTTTACTATGTTACCATTTTTTTTTAGATCAAAAAAAACATTTTCTGACTTATCTTATCAAGCTAAATTCGATTCTATATTAATATAATTTACCTTAAGCTTCTTTCATATAGGCGCGTATTTTAGTCATACCCCTTCCAAAAGGTTAAATGCTTTTTATTAAAATGCCTTACCAACTTGCCACTTTGTTTTAACCATGAACAATAATTTATAAAACATTAATATTTCATGGGGGATTGGGGTCATACTTCAATTTTGCAAATTTATTCATAATCATGTCAATAGCTTAAATTATTTTTACAACATCTATGTTTTGAGGTTATTCCTTAATATGTCCAAGATGATAAATTCTCTATCCCCCCTCACCCCTTAAATTTTAGATTGACATACTGGAGAGAGAGACTATATTACTTAATTATAAATATATCATCCATTTCTGATCTTAAATATAAATATTACCATAAGTAGTTTTAGTTTATTTCTTAAGTTAATACAGATGATTTATTATAAAAGATCTATATTCCTACAGATCTTTTATCTTAATTTTTTCAAAAAAAAGTCATTAGGGGTTTTTCAGTCAAAATTTTTTTCCTACAACTCAATCAATAAATGAGCCAATATAATATTGACTTTACAATACTTTTAGAAGATCATTTAAAATAAAATATTTGTTGGAATACAACTTTATTTTCTAATGTAAACATTATTATTTATTAATGAAAAATATAAATTTATAACTTACTATACTTCATTGCAATTGAAATGAGGTTTAACAAATTCTTTTGTTAAAATATAGTCATTCTTTAACCTCGTCCCTAATTCGTATATTTGTTCATGGCCTAACGTAGTTAATAATCCAGCTGATGCACCTCCCTTTTGAATAATTATTATTTCATATTATTTTTAAAATAATTACATTAAAGACAATTTTTTGGTTAGCTTTATCTTCATCTGATTCACTAACAAATTGACCCATAAAATTAAGCCATTTACATGGAACAGATGTATATGAAGAACTATTTTTAAATAATTCATGAGCATTCCACTCAAGCTAAAAAAAAAGATATATGTTTTTTTTTAAATTGGCCTAAATACTTCTCCTAAAAGCCCAGGTAACCTTTTAAGAGGAGTTCTAGCACCATGCCTATAAAACACTTGTACATTGACTAAATTTAAATCTTCTAATTTGGGAATATGGGCAGCTTTGGGATCAGGCTTAATTTTTCCAGGAGGGTAATAAGAAATATTTTCATCTGTAGATACAATTGTATTTTTCCTAGCATGCACAGTTGAAAAATTTAGATTCAGTTTATCAAATATATTTTTAATAATAAATTTTGTTTTGATATCACGTTGATGATTAGAATAAAGCCAATAAGTCCCTATAGTTGCAAGTGAAGATGTAGTAGTAGCGAATAAAATTATATTTTTGATAGATCTTTTCATATTTTTGAAATTTTCTTATTAACCTTGAATATTAAATCATTCTTTTGTTATTTTAATTTATAGATGGCGCATATATTATAAACTGTATGTAATTAAAATTTGTGAATTATAATATAATTGTTGGGTGAGGTAAATCGGATGCAACAATTTAGGAAGACTAAGCATTGGTTATTAATTATATAAATATATAAATGTATTTTCTAGATCATGCTATGTTGTGCTGGCTCCACCATATCATCCTAGCTCTAATGGACAGGCTGAGAGGATGGTAGCCATAGTGAAAAATTAGATTTAAAAGGCCAAACAAGAAAGTGATTATGTTCGAATGGCCCATTTAGATTATAATGATCTAATAATCGTGAGTGTTACGCCTATTCAATTGTTTTTAGATCGATAGACCAGCATGCCCTTGGATTTATTAAAACAAAAAGGCAATGCTATTATCCATGTGAAAGAGTAAATATAAAATTTCCAGTGGGAAATAAAATGGACCCAATTATTCTACAATAAAAGGAAAAATGGGAAAAGTGTTATATAATTAAAAATGGGTAGGAGTTGAATCGCATAGCGTTCAAGATTGGAAACGATTCGTCACAAGGACCATATTAGGAAACGAAATTAATAAGAAGTGTATAAATAGTATTAAATATAAAAACCAATATATCTATAGATGTATATATTTGTTAGGTGAATTGGGTTGTGACAACTAAATTTATCTATTCATGCACAAATAAACATATGTGACCATGGGGGGAGGGGGGTCTTTAAATGAGGTTGACTAATAAATTTGACTATGAGGATTCATACGATGGGTTTAAATTATTATTCCCAGTTATTGAATGTGTAGGTTAATAATGTTATGGGTGTTTTAATAATAACATTGGTTCTTATTTTTCGATAACATGATAATTTATGATTGCCTTGTATCGTAGTTAAATGAATGTACTTGGTAGTAAATAAAAAAGATTAAATTAATTTAATACGTAATAATGATTGAATTGGATAAGGAAACTTTTTTTGAGTTGATTATAATGATTTTAAGATCAAGTGAAATAATTGATTATATTCAATAGGTTTATGGAAAGTTATTAAGAAAATTGTTAATTCCGATAGTTAACAATTTGAACTTTGGTGAAGATAGAAAAGGAAAACAAATAGGGGTTGATGTTTTTCTATTCGTTTTTCTTTACATCACCAATTCATTGAATGAAAGATAAACTGTAAGTTATAATATTATTTAGGGAGGATAATAAATAATATTGCTGATATGAAGATTTTTTTACACAAGAATCGACATCATAAAAAAAACTAATAAAATACTTTATTATTTTTTAAAATAAAATATATCTTTATTTCAATATATTAAATATTTCACATAGTTTAAAAAATAAAAATATTTAAAAAAATTTCATAATAAATAAAGCTATATAAACATAACATGTAAAAAAAATATATATATCGAACTCATCTATAAAAACGGATGTGGGATTACCACAAGTAAAAAACATGAATAATTGTATCTTAAAATTGTAATATAATTTGTTTTAAAAAATAATATCCTTTAGGTTTTGATGTTAGGGCTTATTTTGCCCCCTATAGTTTTTATAAATTTTAAAATTCTGCTTGACATATGTCCAAGGGATGAGATAACGATTAGTAAAAAAAAAATAATTTTTTAATTTGGAATATTTAATTGTTTTTTTATCGGCTATATCAACCGGGTCAGAATTTAAATTCTTTGAAAATGAAGAGACGCATGTGAAGTCCCAAATTAAGGTTTTACCCTAAGATCAAGGCACAACAGTTAAGCTATCTCGTTTTAGGCCACTCTAATGATAAATTAGCAGGCTCTAGGATGTTTTGTATTCAGGCCTTGGTAAGAGAACGGCTTATAACTGAATTAATTGCAGCGTATCTTGCACGTCTGCCTTGACTATATATGATATATGGATATTTTATTATATGTTTTATAATGTATGATGAGTATAATAATTATGTACGATAAACTTCCTAATATTTTTATGTATACATTTTATCCATCATCATGATATATACATATTTCCTATTGTGAAAATGGAGGAATAAAATGTCAGAAACCAAATTGTATAATATATATATATACAATTAAGACCATGTCTCACTTTGGAATTAACTAATATTTTACATTATGCATGTATGTGATTGAACTATGTTGCATCCAATTCGATGGCCTATGGCAACTCTTAATTGTTGATAAGAGGTTTCCTAAGTTACGTCTTGGTAATGCTTCTAGCCATTCATAACCACTATTAAAGTCAGCATTTTTTAATAGTTGAATATACTCTAAACGGGAATTTGATCAGAGTATTTAAAAAAAAATTATATTAAAGGTTAGAAAATTGATTATCGTGTTAAAATTGTGAGTAAAACAGATTCAGGCAGAGCTAAAGATATTCAAGCTGTCAAAGCTGAATTTAAAAAATAATCTTTAGGAGTGATAAAAGAAGATATCATAGCGTTGTTCATCAAACACGATGCCAAAAATAAAGAAAGAGATATAAGATTTAATAGATATAAATCTAAATCTAAACCACCAATTTTCGAGGGTAATAGTGAGAAGTTCCACTTAAAATCTTCCAATTTAATATTTAAATTTTAAAATAATTAAATATAAGAATATTGTTGATTGGTCGGGTATAAAATAATATTATAATGAAAAATAATAAAGATATTTTTATTTTTTTGATGATATAAAAAAGTTTATTATTATTGGATTATGTAAAATTTTAGGAAAATAATTAAAAAAATTTGATATTTTATAATAATTTAAAATTGTAGTGTTTTTAACTTCCTGGAGAAAAATTAAAATAAAAATTCTAATCAACTATTGTGTCTTTGAAATTTATAAAGTGTAACTAAGAATTTGAGTTAAATAAAGTATAGGCAGGCGCGTACGCAGGAATTTGGTCTGGGGGAGAGTGGGGGGGGGGAATAATAAATTTTTTTAAGAAATATTATTGTTAATTAAAAATACTAATACTAAGTATAAATTTATTAGGACTAATAACTTTTCTAATACACAATTTTAAATTAATGTGAATTACAAAAAAATTATATATATAAACCGGAATTGAAAAATTATATAATAAATGTGAATTATAAAATATAAAGTAAATATCACTTAAATGACCCAAAATTGAAATTTGAATTTTTTAAGCCTATTAAAATATATAAAGTATAAAAAATTTAAATGTTGGAAATATAAATTATTACACAAAAAGTTTCATAGGAATAATTGTATTTTGTATGTTTTGAGCTAATTTTTCAATTATCTATCCTTGCTTGGCGTTAAATGCCTAAGAATATTCAAAAGATCCAAATCATTCAATCTACCTTCAGAAGTTGTATTTCATAGGTATGTTTTTCAGAGACTTTCAGGCCTGGCCCACGAGCCGGACCGTATTTTAATTTTTTTTAAACATACCCGGGCCGGGTCTGAAATTTTTTTTAAAAAAAATATCCGAGCCGAGCTGTATATTTTAAAACCAAATATTTGAAATAGCTATTATTAGCTATAAAAATGGAATAAAAATATAATTTGCTTTAAAAAAAATCGGGCCGGGCTTGAAAATTTTATTTTCAAAAAACCCGGGCCGAAAATATTTTTTTAAAAAAATCCGGCAAATGGTACCGGGCTCTGTTATTTTTCTTAAAAAAGAGAATTTTCCCTCATTAGTTTGCTAATGGGAAGAGTTGCTATTATATATATAACCATTTTAATACATTGGGAATATAATATAGCATGTGTTTGAAATAATGCAAAGCATCCATAGCATTTATTGGGACTATATCAACTATAGTTAATCTTTTAATCATTGTTATTCAGCTAATAAGGCATCATAAGATATTTTAAAATCTTTATGATAAAAATCTAACAAATATTTTTTTCTATCACCATCTGAAAAAGGTTGGAAAGGCTTTTGTTGTAAGTGCTGCATGATGAATTAAAAACCATTCATTTATTTGGGTTATAAATGTATCTAAGAGAGGGGACATTTGTTTTATAATACTCTTCTACTGATCCTATATTAATGTTTTGACGATTAGCTTGCTAGCTGCAAGTCGAGGGGGACAAATATTAAACACGTATAGCCTGCTTTTGACCCAACAATAACATGTAAAATATGAAATTCTTCATCTACATTCTAATTTCCTTGAGTTCTAATAAAATGCTCACCGCTATTCTCATCTTCTTAATCAAGTCAATATGATGTTTTTGAGAAGTATTACATAAAATAGTTGTAAAATTAAATAATACATTCTAATGAGAAAAAAAATTTGGAATAAGTATTGAATCCAATAATTTTATTGCTTCTGAGGTAATATTTCTTTCAAGAGTACTAACATTAATAATCGGCTCTTCTAACTCCATAAAATATGTTACTGCTTGATGGCTGAGACTCGATCTCGTTGGACAAGCTTGCAATTTCTTTCTCCCTGTTGGAGATAATTATTATTTGACTAGAAATTTAGATAAATTATACGCCATTAAAATTTGAAAATAATAGGTAAATTAAGCCAAGGAAAACTTAAGATCGAAATTAATTGATAAAATAACTTAGTAGATAAATGTGATAAATAAATGTAATTAAATATATATATGAGATAGTAATAAATATTAACAAATATAATTAAATAATATTTTTGAAAAATATAATCCGGCATCTGCATTTTTTGGCTTTGGGGGGGGATTAGTTCCCCTGCCCCCCCCCGCTGCGTACGTGCCTGAGTATAGGAGTAAGATAACTACTGACATCAACATGGTATAAAGTTTATTCTCAGTATTTCCAACCAACAGAATCTACTCAATTAACATAGATATATAGGCATTTAAAATTAATTTAGACCCCTCCCCTGCTTTATAAAATATTTAAATATTTATGCAATTTTTGAGTGTGGGGTGGGCTATGTTTCTCTGCCCAATCCCTTTTTAATCTGCCAACATTCTTTTAAGTAATAGTCCTAGGATTATTACGCGTACAAGTACGCGGCTTGCCAACA